GAGTTTGAATCAATGATCCTGAGGGGCCCCTTGCAGCTGGAGTGTGTGGGACCTGGTTTTGTGCCCGCACTCTCTGTGTTGTGTCAGGCCTGTGCTGAGCCATCAGGCTTGGAAATGGAGAGGGGTGGCTGCTCTGCGCTTTGCTGAATGAGTGTCAGGGACCTGAAGGGCTGGAGGTGGGGGCCGTGTCTGACTGGCAGCCCAAGGTTGCCATTTTGGGTCAAAGCTGTGACCTCCAGCTTGTCCTGCTGTCTCCCTCAGTCTCTGCCCTGGGTGCACGGCCCTGGCAGGCAACTGAAAACCCACCTGGCTGTTGGGGAGCAACGAGGGTGACCCCTCAACATGGGGCTGGGGTGTGATGGGCCACTGCATCACTGAGCAGCTGTCCTGTTGTAGTTGTTTCCTGCAGCTGGACCTGTAACAAGGTTTTTAAGCCCCAAAGACCAAGGCTGGACTCCTGGGGCGCTGAGCCCAGCCCTCTTTAGAGCTTAGCTGTGCCCTGCGGGCGTGGGGCACATGCCCTGCCGCTGTCACCGCTCTCCCTCTGCTCTGCCCTCGCTCAGTTCTACAGTGCCTCAGGAATGCCCACCAAGCACCTCTCCGACAGCGTCTGTGCCGTCTGTGGCCAGCAGATCTTCGTGGATGTCAATGAGGAAGGGATCATTGAGAACACCTACCGCCTCTCCTGCAACCACGTGTATCCTTCTCTGCAGGTGCCAGCTCCCTGCCTCGCTGGCCCCACGCTGGGGTGGGCAGCAGGGAGCTCCTGCCCCATGGCTTCTCCCATACTCCGTGAAGAAATGCCTGTTCTGGGACTCGGGGCCGTCCAGCTGAATTTGCATGTGATCTGTGCCTGTGTCTTCACTGACTTGGCATGGCAAGAGGTGTCCCTGGAATTACTTTGTTGCCACTTACAAGTGGTTGTTTCCTCTTCCTTCTCCTCCCTGGCTACCTCTGCTCAGCAAGAGCATGCATGGAGCTGCACCTCAGTTTTTACCTGCTTTTGACAAATCTGCTGTGACTCATCTGCCTGGCAGTGCTCCCAGCAGATGTTCTGGGGAAAGTGATGGTGTGAGGTCGGGACATGAGGCATCCCTGCTCCATGCCACACTGGCCCCTCATCAGAAACCCATTACAGTGGGTCCATAAGAAAGAGTTGTGGGGAAACACTTCTGGCCCCCCTGGTCCAGCACTGCCAGTTGCTACGTGCTCTAGGCACAGTCCAGGAGCTTCCTCCTTCTCCAGAACTCCTCCAGGGTTTCCAGCATGCTGGAGTCACTCAGTCCTTCCTGTCAGCTGATTGATGGGAAGTGGGTTTTGAAACTAGAAGTCCTAGTTGGTGCTCAGCCCCAGCTGGGGCAGCAAGTCAGGGTTTTTTTCCCTGTGGTGATTCAGTGTGGAGATGGGATGTCCTCTGGCACTGTGTGCGTTGCTGCCTGCGAGGTGGTTTCCAAACTGGGTCTGAGCAAAGGTCATGCTGGTAAAACTCGCAGCCTAAATTTAACTCTTGGGAACTGTTGGGGAGATTTATGACTGACACTGAAAGGGCCTGGGACTGCAGCAGCTTGGGGTGGTGTGGCTGCCAGAGGAGCTGGTTGGTGCCCCTGGTGGTCCTCAGGGGTGACAGCTGGTTGGGCACTCCTGCATTGATGGCTCCAGGGCTGACAAGGAAGTGACTCCTGTTGCTGCTGCTCCCTGGCATTCTTCCACGGTCTCATCAGCAGAGATATTCTAGGGAAAGTTTATTTGCTCAGTGACACCCCTGTATGTGTCAGAGTCAGTTGCAGCCACCTCATGTTTTCCTGTACCTTCTCTGTTTCCTGTAACTTCTTCTGTGCTCAGATACTGCAAATCCTTGTGAGAGAGCATAGCAGGCATCTGTAAGTTAGACCCTCAGTCAGAGAGAAGTGTCTTAAATGCTTATCTCCAGAAAGCCTTTCAAGAAGGCTTCCAAAATGCATGCAGTTCACAGAACTCTCCTAGGCTGTGCAAACCTTCTCAGTGCTTGAGCACCATCCCTGAAGAGTTTCAGTCTCCCTGGTGCACATGCATTGGTCATGGCCTTTGTGCTACCACCCTGGCCCCATTCTGCTGCTCCATGAGCTCCTTCTGCTGTCCCTGGAAGCTGCTGCACCTTCTAGGAAAGGGTTGTGGTTGTGCAATACACCATTCTCACATGGCAGGATGTTTCCGTGGCTCTGTGAGAACTTCCGTGGACTTGGTGGATTCCACCACACTGAGCCATGTATCCCCCTCTTCTTCCAGTTCCCCTTAACGTGCCAATCCCCAGGTTTCATGAGTTCTGCATCCGGGGCTGGTGCATTGTTGGGAAGAAGCAGACGTGTCCATACTGCAAAGAGAAGGTGGATCTCAAGAGGATGTTCAGTAATCCGTATCCTTTCTCCTTCTGGGAGCCAGCACTTTGGGAAGGGAAGCAGTGGGTAGAGCACACAAGGGGCAAGAGGGTTGCCTGGCACCCTGGGTAGGTTGCTGCAGCATGCGGCTGTGGCAGAGACCCAGCAAAACACAAGCAAGGCCAGCCTCCATGAGGACTCGTGTGTCCTTCCCTGGGTGCTTGTCCATCCCTCCCTGGATACCTGTGTTCTCTGTCCCTGCTTTGGGGCACCTTTGGGTCACTTCTGGGTGGGCTATGCTCTTCTCATCCATTTCCCATGGCTCTTTAACTCCTTCCTGCCCAGCTGGGAGAGGCCACACGTCATGTACGGGCAGCTGCTGGACTGGCTGCGCTACTTGGTGGCCTGGCAGCCAGTGATCATTGGACTGGTCCAGGGAATCAACTATATCCTGGGGCTGGAGTAAGGGCAGGTGGTGGGGAGCCACGGAACCACGAGAGGACATTGCCACCGGGGATGCTGGCTTTGCTCCGTCACCTCTCAGGACCTTGGCCACCCTCAAGGACAGCAACATCAAGGCCCCTCCTGCTGGGGCTAGGGGAGGATTTTTTAAAAAAGTTATTTTAATGAGCATATTTAAAACTTTCTATTGCAGCCAAAAAGAGACGCTTGTCCCCTTTCCCTGCACCTCTCCTGCCCTTTGCAGTGACCTGCTGGGCTGACCTTTGGGCTGAGGGCTGTTCTCCAGCTCCCTCCTGCCACTCTGTTAGGGGAGGCTGTAGGGAGAAAGGCTGAGGCTTTGCCAGCTCCAACACCAGCACCCTGGAGCAGCCTTGCTGGCAGCGAGGATGGGATATGGGGGCTGCAGAGGAGAGCCCAGCACTCTGAAAGAGGTCCTGCCAGGTCCACTCTGGGCACCATGGGTATGCCAGCAGGAACCAGGCTGCCCTCCGGCATGGTGATGGTGGGCTCTGCCTTGGGGAACCCCTTTTATATGCTCCCAAATTTTCTGTGTTCCTCCCTGGAGTCCTGCGGTGTCCCCTAACTGCTCGGGGAGGGGGGGGTCAGCCAAGGCATGGAGTGGGGCCAGTGCTGTTCCTCTCTGTGCCCTTTTGGGTAACAGTGACAGTCAAGAGCACCAAGAGCGGGTGCCCCTGCCCCAGGGCGCGGGTCCGCCCTCACTGGGTATTGCTCTTGGCGCTGGAATAAAAGGGATGGAGTGAAGGTTGGGCTGGTACTGGCATTTCCCTGCCCCGGCATTACTCCATGACATTCTCCTGGTCATGCTGGTAGGAGCCATGCCAAAGTCCTGCTGGTGCAAGTGGCTTTGGGCTCAATTTTTGGTAGTGGGTGGGGGCAAAGTCCCCAGTCCCAGGGCCAGCGGTGGTATTTTGGCATATGGAGACTTGAGTCGTATTCCCTGAGGGTGCTGGGGTCTGGTGGAGAGCTACAAGGCAGCCCCTGGCTCAAGGGATTTGGGAAGTGGCCACAGCGGTGGCATGGCTGTGGGTGCTATGTGGGCTGTGTTCCCCCCTGGGGAGCCCCAGTGCCATGCTGCATCCTCTTGAGTTTTCTTTTGGGTAAAACCACATTGCACTGTTGTGCCAAACACCAAAATAAGAGCCCTGGAAACAGAGACACGGCCCTGGGTTTTTCTTTATCGTCTTCCCTGCAGCCAGGCAGGGCCATGGTTCCTCCTTTCATCTCTCCCAGGGGAAGGATATTGTGTAGATGATGACCAAGCACCCATCTGCATTTCCTGCCCACCTCTTTAACCCTGTAGCATCCAGAGCTAAGCTGGTTAGTGTTGGTGGGAGCAGAAAGGTGTCAGAGGAGCTGGCAGCTGCCAAGGGAGCTGCCTCTGGCTCATCATTGCCTATTGGACACTCATGGTTGCTGGAGGGAGGATGCAGACACTGGCCTCATCCCAGCAGGCTGGGAATGGATTGCACTTGCCAGGTCTCTAAGATAACACTCCTGTTCCTGTCACCTTCCTGCTGTGCTGGGAACGGATAATAAAACTCAGTGGGAGTTTAGCGACTTTTTTCCAAGCCTTCCAAGCCTTACCAGGGCCTGTAACTCAGGTGGCTGTTTCTGCCCTGTTGCTGTGCCCACACTGGGTCCCAGCCTTGGCACTGCTGGGGAGTGGGGGCTGGCCCCTGGTTTTGTCACCAGTGAGTTGTCGAAACCACGTCTGCTGTCAAGGGGCTGGCTCTGGGGGTGGGGAACTGCTGTGGGACACGGAGACGGCTTCCCACAGCCAAGAACTAAAGCCCTGGGGGTTTCTATCCACTGTTGTTCTGCATGGGCCGGGACACCGAGAGGCCAGCACCCAAGCTCCCCCAGCAGTGTCATTCTCAGTCTCCTGGGTGCTTCACCCTCCTTCCTCCTGTGCAGACCCTGCCTTGTCTCTGATCCCAAAGCATGGGGGAACGAACCAGCATGTTCAGAATCCTGTGACACTCAGCCAGCGCCCTCTGTGCCGGACACTGCGGGGCCCAGCTGGGCCCCAGTCCTCCATCCCTGGGGAGCTCATGGATGGTCCCCCAGGGGCGGGGGGGAGATGGGCGGGGGAGGGGTCGTGGGATGCGGATCACGGGAGTGCCTGAGGGCTGTGTATCCCCAGGTGCAGGAGGCATGGGGACACTAGGCACCTTCAGGGGGCTCGGGGACGTGGCTGCACAGGAGCCATTGACACAGATCAGCGTCCAGGTGAGGGTCCCCGTGCGGTGCCGCCGCGCCACGTGGCCGGGGCCGAGGGCGGCTCCCGGTGAGTCACGGCGCTGCCTCTCGCCCCTCCCCGGGCCGCTTCATAAAGCGCCGCGGTCCCGAGCTCCGCCGCCCCATGTCTGAGCCACGGGCTCTCCTTGTGTACCGGAGCGGTGGGTGGACAGCCTTGAGGGACACTAGCCGCGACTTGAGGGATTCCGGGAGGAGGATGCTGGGGGGTACGGGACTATCCCAGAGTCGGGGGGTGCTGAGTGGATACGAGGGTACGGGATCATCGACTTGGGGAGTCCTGGGGGGAGCATGCTGGGGGTGCCATGGCCGGCTGGGAGGATGCTGAGAGGACGGGACCATCCCAGGCTCAGGGAATTCTGGGAGAACCACCCAAAGCTCATGGGGAAGCATCCCTGTGTGCCCAGCATTGAGCTCCATTTTTGCCTGCAGAGCTCCTGGGACGCCCTGCCTGGATCCTTCTGCTCTGCTGGAGCTTGGCTGCTTGCTGCACAGGTAAGTGGGGGTTACTGTGGGGCTGGGGAGCTTAAGGCTCGGGCCTTAAGCTCGTACCTTAAGGACCCCAGGCTCTGTGCCCCTCAAGAGGCCTGTTCAGGGTTCTGGGGATGAGCATTGCCCCCATCCCTTTATGGGACCCTGCCTGCTCACCCACTACAAAAATATGGGGTCTTGGGATCACTCTTGACCTCCCATCTCACCTCAGTCTGCTCCCCCAGGTGCCATGGCCTTGCAGCCACCCCGTATCACCATCCTGCGGATGCCAGCAGAGCTCCCCCGCCCAGGTGAGAGACGCTCGGGGGCATGGCAGGGCCTAAGGGTGAGGAGGCTGCAGTGGGGGTCAGCTCCTGTGCCAGTCTCCAGTGGACACAAGGTGAATCCTCCACCCACAGCCAAGATTTCAGGGTGCTGATGAGGTGGGGGAATATTCCCCTTAGCTGGGGAGGGGGGCTGTGCCTGTGCCTGGGGGGCACTGGGGACCCTTGCAGCCCTCCTGCCCTTCGCGCTCCCTCCGGCTGCAGGCGAGAGCGTGACTGTGTCGTGCGAGGCGTTGAGTGGGCTTCCAGAGTCGACGCTGCTTTACTGGCTGGAGAACGGCTTCTTCGTGGAGAGCCTGCACCCGGATGGGGCTGTGCGTGAGGGGACAGTGCAGTGAGTATGGGGACAGGAGGCCTGGGGGCAGTGACAGCGGGGCAGCCCCGGTTGCAGCAGGGCCTCTGGGCCTGCCCATCTGGACCAGACACTGACTGGTCCCTGCTGGCTCCCCAGAGAGGAGCTGCAGGCCTCGGGGCTGGCCCTGCACCGTGATCTGCACTTCAGCTCCTTCGACAAGCAGCACCTGCACACCAACTTCACCTGCGTGGTGCTCAGTCCCCTCGGTGTCGACACCAGGGAGGTGCGATGGCCATCGCCAGCACTGGCCCCCGTCACTGGGAAGAGTGAGGGCCTGGGCTGAGATGGAGGAGCAACTCCCATGCTGGGTGCTGAGTGAGCACCCTGCAGTGCAGCTCCCTGCTCTGACAGCCCCACACCCACCACTGCATGCACATGTGACACCTCCAGGGAGGCCCGTCTCTGTGACGCCTCTGCTTTGGGGGACTGCATGGCCCCACATATGCTGGCCCCACGGTGAGTGGGGCTCCTGGTGCCCCAAGCCGAGTCAGGAGCGCTGCCTGGGCTGGAACCAGCCCTGCCCATAGCTGGCTTTGGGACCCCAGAGTTTATTAAAGTACATCAAGGCTTCCCAGTGTCACCTGCATCCTGGTGATGGTGCCCAAGGGTGTAGAGGGCACTTGTGGGATGAGGAGGGAGGGATACAAGGTAGCCCTGGTGTCAATGAAGTGTAGGATCCATTCCTGACCCCCTTCCTGCCTAGTGAAGGGCTAGAGAGCTACAGTACTCCCAGTTATGCTCAGGGAATACCTGGCACAACAGCTGTGCCCTGCCCTGGAGGAGAGTGTGGGTGGAGAAGCCTTGGGGTGCAGGCACCCCAGAAGATGGGCCCATCACATCCCTCTCTGCACCTGCGGGGGTTGGGACTCTTCCTCAGCATGGCATTGCTGCTCCGTGGGGCAACCCCTGTAACCATCCTGTGCTGGCAGGATGCCACCTGCTCTTTATTGCCAGGCCCCTTCTTGCTCCCTCAGGTGCTTGTGGGGGGTGTGACCCACTGGGCTGTGGGACAGGCTGGGGAACAAATCCCAAACCCTTTGAGCAACCCCTGGGCTAGGGGCATCACACTTCAGGATGCTCAGAATGTGGGAGGGATAGGGATGGGGGTGGGGGGGAGTGGAGAAGCCTCCAGGTGCAGGCCCCATGAGCTGCCCTCAGCCCGGGGAGCCACAGGAGCCCCCTGGGGACACCCCAGTCCCCCAGTGACTCTTAAGAGCTAGGGGAAGGCAAGCAGTAGAGCAGCCACCTGGGCAGGGACCTGCCCAAGGCAGCCCTGCTGTACCCCCTAGCCCAGTTAATTCCAGACTCCGTTCCTGGGAGAGCCTCTCACAGACCCCACACACAGCTGCATCCTGACACCACAGCTGCCACTCAGCAAAGGCCTCTGTCAGGCTCAGCCAATGTCCTGGGGGCAGTGACACTACGGCCAGGCTGAGCACAGATACCTGCCGTGCAGGACCCTGTGCGGGTATCTCCATGTCCCCCATCCTGTCCTGCTGTTCGCCTGATGCTGGTGGCTCCATCCCTGACCCCTTCTTCTTGCTGCAGTGTGATGGCAGCAGCACACTTCTCACTGCACACCATGGCACCCAGCCCTGCCATGCCATCTCGCACCATGCTGCGTCATGCTGTGGCACACTGTGTCACACTTTGCTGCCCACAGACCCTGCAAACCACAGGTGAGAGCTGCTCTGAGATGTGCAAGGCTGTGTGTCCATGGCATGCCCTCCCCACCACCAAGATCGAGACCTCCCTGTCCTGGCAGAGCTGGTGGAACAGGACCGTTCCCTGCCGCATGTCCCCATGGCCCAGCAGTGGGAGAGACTGTCTTGCAGGGACATCACCTTTCACAAAATCACAGTTGTAGGTGCTGAGCACAGTTGGAAACAGCTGGAAGAAGGTGATTTCAGCAACCTCAAACATCTGGAAAAGCAGGATGAGGACCTCCTTGTCCTTATGGAACAAGTCCTTAGTAGGGACACTGTAGCAGGTCTCTGACACAGTGCCAGATTTTTCCCCAGCCAGCTCCTGGCACTGAGCCAAGAGTGGGCTGCTCCTGGGATGCAGGGCAGATTAGGGCTGATGCTCTACGGCACTGGCTGTCCAGCGTCGAGGGCAGGAGCAAGGACGAGGGAGAGGTCTTCCATGTGGCTTCCAAAAGGGATTAATTCTCTTGAAGGTTCCAGGGATGAAAGACAAAAGATACAGGGGTACATGTAAGTAAGGGGGAGGAGCAAGGGGAGTGTACAAATAATAAACCAATAGGGAAGACTTAGGGGAAGAGCACAAGGCTGGGTTACACAATACATAAACCAGTGGGGAACACAAGGAGAGGAGAGTGGGGCACGTGGTCCAATGGGGCTTGGAGGAATAGGGGAATTCCAAAGGGGATGGTCCAGGCAGGGGGTTGGCACAAGGGAGGATTGACAACTTAATGGGAGGGGGAACAGGGAACATTCGGGAACAAGGGGCAGGTATCAGGGTGGACTGGCAACCGGGGTAGGAGGGCACAACTGGGACTAAACTATTAACAAGGGGGGTGGGGATACAACTTAACAATACAGAAGGTAATTGAATCAAATATAATGAACAAAAATGCACTGCAACAGGTCTCCATCATGAAGATGACATCCCAGTTGAAGGGCAGGGTGCCCGTTTTCCAGAGGGAGGTGGAAGTGGAGCAGCCAACATGGTTGGTGGTACTGCGATGTTCCCATGGACACAGTAGCAGCTAAGAAGGTGGGGGCCATGTTCCATACTATCTCCTTGATGAGGTGGAGGTCTTGATGGTGTGGGGGGCTTCTGGTGGCCAGGGTCCAGGCCAGCAGATGCTCCATGGCAGGCAGAGCCACCCTGAGTGAAGCCCCCAGGTGCTGCAGTGCTGCAGACAGGGAACCAACTGGTTGCTCCGTGAGTGGCTGGGGAGGTGTGGCAGCAGGAGCAAGGTCAGGTCAGGGAGGGTGGTGGGACCAGGGAGGGGCTGCAGAGAGACACAGGGCAGGCTGAGGGAAAGCACCCCAGCTGCATCACAGGGCAGAGCCCCTGCTTGACACATGTCCCAGCACTGACCCAGACACTGATGCCGACACCAGCTGAGACCTGCTTTGCTGTGTCACCCACCAGGAGCAACCCCACTGGGATCCCAGCCAGCAGCATATCCTGAGCTTATGGGTGCATGGGTGCAGGGTGCTCCTGACTTGGGATGCGGTGCTTGCCCCAGTCCCCATCATGCTGCTGAGGATGGTTTAGGCTGTGGCTCAGGTCAGCAGCAATACCTCTCCCTGGAGACCTGGGTCTGCACAGCAGGGCACAGCAGACTTGGAGGTTCAGAGACAAAGCAGGGGGACCATGGGGCCAATGCTGATGACACTGGGATGGCAGCCTACAGCTAGGCACCCTTTCAAGCCAAAGTGAACCCCCAAAAATTTATCATTTGTGGCTCAGCCACCTCTCACTCCTCCTATGCAGGCAGCAGCAACTTGGCCATTCTCACCCATCACGCCCAGGTACTGGTCAGGTTCACATCCATCAGGAGCTGGGGCCTCCCCAGACAGGGGGCTCCATCAGCCAGCAGGGAGGTGGACAACAGCCAGATATGGGGGGATATCCATGGGTGATGAGGGGTCAGAGGGATGAGAGTTTGAGGTGCTGGGGACACCAAGAAGGAGGGGTCCTGGGGCTCACTGGGATGGCACATGAAGGATTTGCTGTAGTGGGAGAAATGCAAGCAGCACTATCCCTGGTTGAGGGGAGGAATCTAGCTGGGGAACCCTGGTGAGGAGAAGGAGACACTGTCCCCTTGGGGCAGCTGGGATGAGGAGTAAGCTCTAGTGGGAGGAGAGCCCGGCCAGGGCAGCCCTGGAGGCCAAGGAGGAAGGGAAAGTAAAACCACAGGGCTCCTGTGCATGCCTTACTGTAAATTAGTCTGGTTCTCATTAGTGGATTCTTCTGTTTACTGTGACATGTGGATGTATCCATGTGGAAGCAGCACACCTCATCAGTGACCATGGGTATGTCCATTCTGCAGCAGGAGCACCTCTGAAGGAAATGTGGCCCAAGAATAAAACCGTGCTGGAGAAGGTGCACCTTGAAGCATCTATGGCTGTGCTGGAGGTCATGTTGGAACACCTCAAAGTGTGTGGCCATGCATAAACCCCCAACAGAGCAGATACACCCCAGGAGGCACTTCAGCCATGCAGAAGGCCAAACTAGAGTAGGTATATGCCCCATCCCTGGGAAGGTTCAATGTTGGATGGGGCCTGGAGAGCAACCCGGTCAAGTGGAAGGTATCCCTGCTCATGGCAGGGGTTTGGAACAAGATGAGTTTTAAGGTCCCTCCCAGCCCAAACCATTCTGTGATTCTATGATTTTGTGAAGATTTGTGGACATTTTATGGGAATTTTATGGGTATTTCATAGGAGTAGTAGATATATATATAGATATTTCATAGTTCATAGACTAAAGGAATTATATCTGTGCATGATAGCTAAGGGTGGGACGGGGCTGGTGGGGTATTGGATACCACAGGACCTGAGAATGTACCATGTTGGGTGGAGGAGAAGTTCTATTTCTTCCCTGGGGCTGTGGTTTGGATTTTTGCTGGAGGGAGCATTGATAAACCAGGGATGTTTCAGTCAATACTGAGCGTCAAGGCCTTTGATGCTCCTCATGCTGCCCCACCAGCAAGTAGGGTGGGGGTTTGAAAGGACTTGGGAAGGGATATGGCCATTGGACCCAGCTGACCCCAGGCATATTCCCAACCACAGGTAGTAAAACTGGGGAAGGTTGGCCTTGGGGGGTCCACTGCTCAGGGTAGAAATAGGAAAGTTGTACAGACAAATCCCTGTCTTTAAGCCAGGTGTCACCAACAGAATTTTGGGGCTTTGATCATGGGATGGTTTAGATGACAACAAGCCTACTGGTGACAGACTGGCTATACCTGTCTCAGAGGGAAAAGGATCTTTGTGCAGGACTTAGTAGGGCATGTTGAATGAGCCTTAAATTGGATTTGAAGGGGGAAGGGGATGAAAACCAGGTCACTTGAGATAAGCCTGGGAGTGGCTTGACACTGTTCTAAGGATGGTCGTTCGGGCTACCATCTCAGTAGACACAGGAGATAGAGATACATGAAGCAGCAAGAGTGCAAGTGTTATTGATGTGCCAGAAACCATGGAAGCTCCTGAGAATGGCCATTCAGGAATTGGAGCTTCTCTCCCCAGAAAGCTCCAAAATCCAAAAATCATCAGGATTGACAACCCAGTACATCTGCCCCAGTGCCTGCAG